TATATTCATGGACAAAACTTTATTTTATTTTATTAAAAATACTTCACTAAGAAATATGACTTTTTGTATGTGAAAGACTGTCAAATTTTGTGAAGATATACCCAATATATAGAGTTATAAGTATTAAATTTATGTCAACATTAAACGAGTACAGAAGGTCACGTGACTATCCCAGGGATCAAGTCCGTGTCGAAAGAGTTAAAGTACAAATTTGGTTCATCTTAAGTTTTGGTAAATGTATCTTACATCAGTTTACTCTACATCTGTAATTTATTTTAATTAGCAGTTAGTTTCTTCATTCATAAACTTCAAGAGTTTTAAAATTTATTACATTAAACAAAAACTTGTATCTGTCATGTGACCAGAGTTGCTTTACTTAAAAGTTTTTCATCCAATTACAATTTCCTAGTGTTCATGAAGCTCCACACCCTCTCTATATTGGGGATGGAACAATGAACCATGGGAGAAAATGACCAAATTTCAATCACCGTGACCTTAACATTATATATTATAAACTTTATGTACTGTAGTGAATACTGAACTTGAGTTGGCTTTGTTGATTAAGATGCTGTTGAATGTTACAGTGATGGACAAATATTCATGAAGAAATATATATAGTTTTCAAATTCGATGACGAGGAACCCACTTTGAGACTAATAATGCTTGGAAACGGCTTGAATGGGTAATGAAGAAAAACTTTATAAGTTTAACAAAACCACAAATGTACAACATTTCAACAAGGTTTTGTCATCTTCAGGTAAGCATTATATACATAGTTTGTATTCAGAGAATGTAATTGACAAAATTTCCTTGTGTGTTTTCCAATCAAGAATTGAGGTGGCATCCAGGCTGCATATAACATCAAGAAAGTACTTGAAAATAACATGCTAATAAGACCCAGAATATATGAATACCAAATTTCACTTTGAATGTGTGATACAAAAGATATTCATTTCAGGTCTATACTCTTCCCCATACCACTTTTGTTTGAGGAACATGTAAAATATAAAATCAAAAACATGCGAGACTAATCAAATGAAAACTCACTTTGTTGTTCTTTTCCAGTTCCTTTGTCCCTTGCTGATACATGAACAATACCATTAGCATCAATGTCAAAGGTTACTTCAATTTGAGGTATTCCTCGGGGTGCAGGAGGGATTCCAACCTATAAATAGTTATATGATTCTTAAAACAACATTTGACCATTTAGGTATAAGAACTTAGAAGTTGTTTATAACAAATATTGCATTACTGATTATATTATACATACAGCTTGTTTCTTAGCATAAATAAACAAACTGGTATTTCATTTTTTTTTTATCCAGTCAGACTTATACTTGTATTAAGACATTTTTAAAACAACACACAAACTAAACAACATTTAATACATACATTGCCAAACTTAACTGTGAACACAAATAATCAAACCATAGGCAAATGACACAAAAGCTTAAATTTAGGTATATGATGTTCCTTACGAAAGTAGTATCACTAACCTACTATTCCAAGTATATTTTATAATTTCTAAGAACTTTAATTTACATATCCATGCTTCGTTTATTACAAAACGTTCAACATACAAATGAGAATGGTATAAAACTAGAAAAATATATTGATAAACTACAAAAATTGCCTTCAGCCATCACAAAATATCTTGTAATACTCTATACTCACAAAAGTTTGGCACTCTCACATCTGTTCCTACATTTCTTACCCATTTCTCAGAGGTTTTGTTGCACAGTCACCATCAATTTTTTTTGCTCCATAATTAGTAACCTATAAAGTCACTTAAATCTAATTACTAATTAGTTTATAACACATTTTAGTTGCCAACCTGAGAAAAATAATGAGAAGGTCTGTAGGTGGTGACTGGTTAAAGAACTTAAAAAGACAGGTGTGCTATCTATTTTTCTGAGCACTCATCCCACTCAGGCTCAAATCAACTAACTATTTGAATGTTTGGTGTTGTTGTTTTTTTTTGGGGGGGGGGGGGGAATCTGACTTCTATGCTATTTTAGTATTGCTCCATTTTATTGTGTGGTATTCTCCGAGATCATGAATCATTACATATATCTAGAATTATGGAATATTGTCTACATTATGTGACTATATTATGAATGCATCATCAGTATATCTCGGCCAAATACTGGGTCTCAGAGCAGCTATTTTAAGGGAATTATCTTTGAAATGTTCCGAGTACTCGTGATAGGGGCACGTCTATGGTCAAGCTTTCTTGTTCTGATAATGTTTCACTGGTTAATGGTTACAATTTACAAAATATCTAGCTAAGGGGTGGCATGATGAATCTCTGGGATGGAGAGAGTGTACTGTTAGTTGACTTCAAATTTCTTCTTTAAGTTTCTCAAGAATTTTTTAACCTTTTTCTTTTTGTTGAGTTATTAGACAATGTTCTTCTGGTGGCCAACTTCAACTATATACTTATGATGTATTCTTTTCTTTTTTTCATTATTACAGTGGCACTACCATTGTCTACTAGTAGAAATGCTATGTTCCTAAGCATAGATTTTTCTGCTAGGAAGGTAGTGTTTCGTTAATGGCTTTCTGGACTACTGACTTTTTGACTTGAGAATGACTGCCCCAGTGATCAAAATGTTGTACTTGTTCTAAAAAAGATTCTTCCTTACTGTAAAAGCTGTAACTTATAATAATTTAATACTCAAATAGTTTATTCAAGTTTTAATGGGGTAAGGGCTCAAACATGTGGATAGTACACATTCCTTTGTAACAATAACATCGAGAATCGAACACTGGCTCCTGCCAGAACTTCTATGAATACAGTGCCAGATCAGCTAATGAAAGGTAGAATTAATTAGTAATTAATGATTATTACAAAACCTATATAATTACTAATTATATTCACGGTAGGTGATTGTAAAGGATACAGTGACTACAGTGGTTGATATCAGATTGCCATAACCTCATCTCAAGTTTACCATATTTTTTTTTGGAATTTAAGTTTTTCCAACATCTGCAGAAAATGGCAACTCTTATGTGACCTTCCTAATCAAGATCAACACAAAAGCATTCAGGAAGCATACATCTAACATTTTGTACAAAAGAACAACTGGCCATCTATCTGTCTTCTTTAGCATTTGGTCAGCAATACACATTTTGCTTTTAGTACTGTTCTAATATAGAATCATCACAACTTTTCACACACACACACACACACATACATACATACATACATACATACAAACATTGATATCCCTTCAAAATCCACAGATGAATTGCAAAAAACTTAAAATATGTAACTTTGGCTTAAAAAAATTAATATAATTTGGTTTATTTTTGATGAACATTTTTATGTTGGGAAATGCCCCCTAACTTTTTTTTCTCTTTAAATTTCATTTTATATGTATCTAGTCTGTTTCAAATTGATTGATATTCATTTGATACTTTATTTTTCTGATTTTAGTACTCACCACTTAAAACTACAAATTGTAAAAAAACACTGCAAAAACTGACAAAGATTTATTGGTTATCTACAATCTGAACTTTCAAAAAGGCATCATTCACCATTACCTTTATCAGACTAGGTAACAATATTCTAAGTCGAAATAAATATTTATCTAATAATTAAGTCTCTTTTGAATAATGTGTTTTAACTCATCAACATTGTTTGTATATGATAAACTATACATAAGGAATAGTAAGAATATTTTGCTATGGCCACTGTACATGATAAACCTAACTAAGTTTACCTGATGTCTTGTCACATTAGTATAATCTGTAGCTTTCAGATATAATTTAACAGAAAAACACTTTCTGGCATATAAAAAGACCATCAAGAATTTATAAAGAAAAATTTCCATATTTGTAGTTTGTTCCAAGTCTTTTAAACTCTCTATTAAATTCCATCAGAAATGAGGGACAATAATGACTTCATTGTAATGTGTAAGTGTTCTGTAGTGAAAATTACACCACAGAGTAAGTTTGAAACCAAAGCCATCACATAACACCATCAGTATTGTAGAAACAGACCACAAAACCTTGGTACTCACCTTTGTCTCATTGCCATTGATCATTAACATCCCTCTGTAATATCTTAGTATATAGTAGGTATAATATAAAATATCAGATTATTAGAACTATTCATGCACAAAAACTATTGTATCACTTCTAAAGATAACTTTAATAGATATATATTTTCCAGAAAATTAATTTTGTACACATGAGTAAGGTGTCAGTTCACTTACCAAACTAAATTGTCCTAGGATCTTGTTATCTGCAGCCATTTCGCGCTCACCCTGACAAACTTTAATTTCCACTTGTGTTTGGCCATCAGCTGCTGTAGAAAATACCTAAAGAAACAGTAATTACTGTAAGCCTATACAATTGCAACACAATTGAAATGCAGGACAATACCTAGACAGCTAATGCTGTAGGAACAGTGAGTAACATACATGTATACTGCTACGAGTTTAAAGCTACTTAGAATAAAATAATGTAGTTTCATGTTACAGTTTAAAGTCATTCTATCTTGTATAGAGTTAGGGTAAAATTAACAGATAAAATATAATTTTACTGAAAAAAAAAACGTTTGGAATGCATTTAGGAGGTTTAAAAATTAGGCAAATGAAATTTGCACTACGACTAGTAAAAAAAAAAGAAAAAAAAGAATCAATATATTCATGGACAAATCTTTATTTTGTTAAAAATACTTCACTAAAAATCTGAGTTTTTGTATGTAAAGGACTTGTAATGTTTGCTGGAAGTCTGCAAATTTTATGAAGATGTAGATACCATATTAAAAATTAGTGATATCAAAACTATAATGAGTACAAAGTGGTCACATGGTCAGTCAACTATTGTACAATTTTGATATAACCAAATTTTCCTGGTAGTTCTTAGATGCAATACCCAAAACAAAATGTATAAAAATGGGCGAGAAAAGCAATTTTTTTATTAGTGTTATCAGTTAACTCTCTCAACATTGGCTAGGTCGATTTGACTGACCATGTGACTTTTGTACTCATTTAAAGTCTTTATAGATTTAATACTTCTAACTTTCAATATAGTGTGTATATCTTCACAAAATTTGGCAGTCTTTCAGTTAATATTACAAGTCTTTCACATACAAAAAATCATTATTTTTAGTGAAGTATTTTTAATAAAATAAAGATTTGTTCATGAATATATTGCGTATTTGTTTTGAATAGTCCATGTGAAAAGTAATTTTCGTGTTAAAAATACTTTTCCTGATCTTAAAAATTCCAAATTTCCTTTGAATGCATTTCAAAGGTTTTGTTTCGCAGTAAAACTTTATAGTTTATCTATTATATTTTCTCTACTCTATTTCAAAAAGAATACCAACCTTGTAACCACCAAATTACATTACCCACAATCTGTTCACGTGCATGCCTCATGAACCATTTTAATTATATTATTATTACTACTTATCTTACCTAATCTAGTCTTAAATAACTTAAAAAGATCCATATTTTAGATTATAGTTACTTTTATAATAATGAATAAAGAATAAATATTAAAACAAGAAATAAAGTACTTACCCAATCTTCTTTTTTCTTGTTGTCGGGTTTTCAAAGAGAGTTAACTTTTTTTTTTTATACTAATGGTAGTAACACACCAAATAATTATTATTTAATTAAATAATGCACCAAAGAACATGTACTAATAACATGCAAAAAGCAGACAATATCCCATAACTCTAAATTTTTTTCTGACTTTCTAACTATGTGACAGAGTCATTACAAATTCATCCAAGCTAGTTATTAACTTTCTCTCTGGAACGATGTTGGTACTCTGAGTGAAACTGACATTTAACCACTCAGAAGATAACATTATCAAAAATTGAAGACTATAAAAAATTATGGTTTGTCTGAGCAATAACAATTTTATAGAAAGTAATCTACATTCAATTTCATACTTTTTAAAGGGGTGGTGGATAAAATAGGGATGATGATATGGTAAAAGAAAATGTGTCACACGAGTCACACCAGTGAGAATTCAGGATTTTTTTAAATATTGCCTTGTAGAATGAAGAACTTAAAACTTGTATACTATTAAAATGTGGATTATTAGCTAATATTTTATGCTATTCTAATTGGTATAACATAAACAAAAAGTAGTTTAATAAAATTTTGAATGTAAGGCACTGAAATCTTGTGTCATGTGCAGTAAAACATACCCGTGGCGATAGGGTTAATGGATCTTTAAAACTCAGCAAATATATAAATGTTAAATATATACAACTTTTTTATCATATTTAATTGAGCATATTGTAGCTCAGAGTTAATAAATCTTTAGAAAAATAGCATATATTAGCAGATTTTTAAATTCAGCTATGAAGACTCATGCTATATTAAATTACTTACCTCTCACTTGTTCTGTCACAAAGATTAACACATAATATTTAACATTCCTTCAATCTTACAGGTCCAGATAATTGTAAAATTAATCATCTGCTCATGCTTCACTCTGAACATTACTATATATATGTTAATTTTTCCAATAAGCCCAATTAATGGTTTAAAAACCACAAAGCAATTATGTTAAAAGGAATGTTTAATTTTGAATCATATTCAATTAATTTCCTAGTAAGTTTAACAAAATATGATGTTCCATGACAGAATGAGAAGTTTCCTAACTTCATGCAAGTATGTTTGTAAATTGTGTTTAATATTAAAACAATGAGAACATTGAATACAGGACAATATTTCAAGTATCTGATCCAAGTTATTTCAGGTGACTATTAAAACAATCTTAAAGTAAATATACATATATCACTATATATCACAAAAAACACAATCAGATCTAAAAGAAGAAATCTCAATATACCTGGCTTTTCTTGGTTGGAATTGTAGTGTTACGACTGATCAATTTTGTGAAGACACCACCCAAAGTTTCAATACCAAGTGATAAAGGTGTGACATCAAGAAGTAGAACATCTGTAACATCACCTGCTAACACACCTCCCTATTTATATGAAAAGCAAAATTAATATGTCACTTGAATACTTTTAAAGTATTATATTCTAAATAACTACAATAACATCAGATTTTTAGAAAGGTAAATAAAAAAAAACTTATCCAAAACAACAATATAATCTTAATATTTAAGAATATGTCAAAACAGTAAGTCAGCTTGTCACTTTTTAGTGTATTATAATTTTCAGTTATTCTATCATATTTAAATTATATTTTACTCATTAATTTCTTTAAATTCCCTTTACAATTCAAGGGACTCATTTAATATGGTTTAGTTTTTATGTTGAGCTTTCTCTGAAATTGTAATAACTTCTTAAAATAAGAATTATCAAAATATAGGATTTATTTTTCAAGATTCTCTAAGACATCACCCGAACTGAAATTTCCTTTATAACTCTTATGAACTAAAAATAACTTCTTAAAATAAGAATTATCAAAATATAGGATTTATTTTTCAAGATTCTCTAAGACATCACCCGAACTGAAATTTCCTTTATAACTCTTATGAACTAAAAATAACCTACTTACATTGTAATTATACTCATTGTTATTATTTTCAAAAAAATTGTTAAATACATATAGAACCAAGATCTGTTGCATAAAGAAAGTTACACAGCAGACACAATGAAGTGTCAACTTGTAAAGCATAAAATAAACATTATACTCTCCACAAAATGAAGTGTCAATTTGTAAAGATAAAATAAACATCATACTTCACAGAATGAAGTGTCAACATGAAAAGCATAAAATAAACATCATACTCCACAAAATGAAATGTCAACATGTAAAGATAAAATAAACATCATACTTCACAGATAGATTTTGTATCACAGACCAAAAAATTGCAAACAAGTCTATTTTTTAAAATAATCAGATTCTCAATTATGAGTTCAGAATAGAATATAAAGAAAGAAAATAATACCATATAAAAATACTAGTTTTTGAGCTTGGTGCTAAAAATTAAACCAAATCTACCTATTATTTAACTAATAATGCCTATGGAGAAAGTGACTATTTTACAGCTCAAAATAGAATATAAAAAAGGGTAATATTTTCTTGAACTTGTCTTAATTTATTAATGATTGTCACATCTCAACAGTATATTTGCCTAACATAATGGTTAATTCTATGTTGTTTTCAGGTTTTAATTTCATCACATATAAATGTAGAGAGAGAAAGCCATAACTTCAAAATAATCTAACCTGAATTGCTGCACCCACAGCAACTGCTTCATCTGGGTTAACAGACTTGCTAGGTTGTCTGCCAAATATTTCTGTAACAGTCTCTTGGACCTTTGGAAACAAAACCAAAATTATATTTCTTTAACCTTAATGAAAACTTTTAATATAAGACAGTTACATTAAGACACTAAAATCATTATGAAATCAGTAAATATTATTAAATTATAATTCCTAACACAGTTTCTTCAATATTAAAACAAATCAAGGAAATATGACAATGATGATCTATTACTACTGATATAAAGTTAAAAAAGAAAACAAAATCTGATCTCTAATGTGAAAACTAACTGTGAAGTATTGCACACACAGGCAAAGTGACACAATAATAAAATATTCAAATCATGCATATCAATCTCTTAAAACTGATGTCTTTTTCTGTAGTTAGCACTAGGGCCAAAAAATGTCTTGTGCTAAAGTTAAAATATAAAATTTAGAATACATTTAAAATGTAAAATTTTCTAGAGATCTGTGCATGTAACAATTAATAGGCCTAGTTTATGGTATAAAATGTCAATCCAGGAAATAATAGCTATCATCACACAAGTGCCTGGTTGCAATACTTGAAAATAGTACAAAAAATACATGATTAGTCATGTTTAGTGGTACATAAATATAGCTATTCAAATTGAATTACAAGTAGTAGTGTAAGTATATTATAGCCATTGCTTACATTTACTGGTTTTATATGATATTAGCTGAACTATATAGTATGTTGTGGTCTGAAAATTGATACTTCTGAAACAATTTTTCATCTTGCACTTTGGCCCAAGGCCTCAACCGAGTCAGTGAAATGCAGAATATGTTATTAAAAATGTGCCACAATTATAAGCTATTGGAGCTGGAAACACCAAGAGGCTGTTCAATCCTGCTGATTAACAGACATAATAGTTACAATATCTAACATGCTACAGAGGGAAAGTAAGCAATTTCTGTATTTACCTCCATGTTATAATATACAAATAGAGATTATAATGATGCAAACAGCTGGGAGAAAAGACAACCAAAATGGAAAAACTTAGCAATGACTAAGTGTACTTTTATAAATTCTCATTGCCAATGACAAAGTAACAAATGTTTAGTGCTAACACAGTGTACAATGTTTTATCCTGCTGTCAACTGATATTTTAATTTCTAATGTAAATGCTTCTTAGGTAAAATCACTAAGACTAAATATAAAAAGATCATTTCCATGTAATACAATATGTTGTATTTTTTAAAATTGAAAAGTATGGTTAAAAAATGCATTTTAAGTAACTGCTATACTAAATAAAAATTATGTAAAATAAGCTTCACTAGAATACATTTTTATGAGAAGTTATTAAAATTATTTTCTATTTACACTGTTTCCATTTACTACAAAACAATATAACCACATATTTCTTAGAAAACAGCTATTTACTAGTTTATTAAAGCTTCAAATAGTACTTATATTGAAGAAAAATGTAAATCAGATTGTTTTAGTAGCAAAACCAGAATGTATCTAAAGAAATCCAAAAAGCTAGAAAGGAGAATTTATAAATGTTAAGTCACAGAACCGCATATATGACAACAAACTTTTCTGATAATGCAAACAACAATAACATTACTGTTTACCTACTGTACAGCATACAAGCTTTGAGGTGTTTTCGAAGATGCATATTTCTTTACCTTATATACATTGCGAATCATGTTGTTTGTCTGAGCATTTGTTTGTCTCCCATTTAAAAAGCTGCACATTCACTTTTGAAATGATGAGAGAACAGGCATGAATAATGTTGATGCCAAATTTTATTTCACAAGCAGGATATTATACACTAAATTTTTCACATTTCAAAATGTAAAGAAAGTTAAAGAATAAAATATAGATTTACAGTATGTTATTGGTGAGCAGCTCTTAGCATGACTGAAATGCTCATCAATTACTTTTCGTGATTGGTGGTATAAGTAACTCTGAGAAAAACGAAGAGTACAAGACAATTTTTTAAAAGTCCATCAACTAATTTAAATTGATAGATTAACTTAAACTTTTCCCATCACCGAGGAAAGGTGTCAATACATACACTGTATCCCAATCTTCTTGTCACTATTATTAGAAAGAATATTATTATCTGTTTGAAAATAATGTAAATACCTTTGGCATTCTGGTCATCCCTCCAACTAAAATGACATCTCCAATATCATTCTTCTTCACTTCTGCATCTTGTATAGCTTTCTTACAAGGTTCAACTGTTCTCTTAACTAGATTTTGGACTAAATTTTCAAAGTTAGATCGTGAAAGCTTTAAGTTCATATGCTTGGGTCCACTGGCATCCATTGTAAGGTATGGAAGGTTTATATCAGTCTAAAAATAAAAAGGATATAAAACAATAAACACATTTAATGTTAAAAAAATGACACAAGTGTAGCATCAAAGAAATAAAATTATACAGAAATCCAAATTTTACTAAAAATTACTTTTCCTTTTGAAACTTGACCTTTCATTACAAGTATTAAGAGCATTGTTTTTCTGTGTATGGAAGAAAAATTAGTTTATTACCTACTGTTAGTATTGAACTATGATTAACATTTATATTTCACTTCATATTATTTTAAGAATTACTTTAAATAGATGGAAATGTATAATTCATACAAACTGTTACACATACTGAAGTACTTTTGATTAACAGAGGGTTACAGTCCATTAACTATGTTGCAATAATAATAATGACAAGATTTAATACATAAACATTCCAAGAGCAGTAAAGGCAATCTTGGTTAAAAATAATATTTTAAGATAAATAATAACTATTTCAAAATTAATGTGGTTATATACTTATATCTTAGTCCTCGTTTTCTGTTTAAAAAAACATTTTTAACCTGTACACAATTATTTTTTGCTTTAGATGTAGTAAAAATTAAACAGAAATGTTTTAATGGAAAATATTTAATACATAATAATTATTTCATGTATGTTTTTATTCAAGATGATTATCTTTAGATAAACTTGTTTCTTTTCTTAAATTTTGTAAAGCTACATTATGGCTATCTGCACTAAAGGGAAAGCAGCTAGTCATCAACACCCACCTCAAAGTTTTGTAAGGAAAAATAGTTGGATTTGACTCATTCCTACAACACACCTACAGCCCTAAGGTTCAAAGTATTGTTTTTCATGATAACAAAATACAAACCATGGAACCTCAGCCACACAGTCTAACATGCTAATTACTGGGACACACTCAGCCCTTTTATAGCTTTATTTCATGAAGAACTATTAGTTGTATTATGGCTGGATGTTGTGAATAACAACTCTGACTTTTGTGGTAAAGATTATCAGCTTTATAAGCACAAATTAAGTAACAAAGAACAAACACAAATTTACAAAACTAGTCGGGGTTATACAACTTCATATTTTTGTAAATTTGTTTGTTCTTTTTTACTTAACTTGTGCTTATAAAGCTGTTAATTTTTACATCTGTAGATAGCACAAAGTACTAATTAACTTGATTATAACTTTAACTTTAGTAAGTTTTCCACATGTGTGTTGATTCCAACTTAAATTATTTATTTGCAAACATAAATATTAATTTAATAATATTTACTCATTTTTAGGTTTTACATAACCTTAGTTTAGCTATTCAAGTTGTTATAATTTAAGCATTTATTATGAATCCTACAGAAAGAAGTTCACAATGTACAGAATAATGACAAACACATTACATAACCTTTCCAAAAGTGAAAATTTGTTGATGATAGTACACAAACTACAAAACACCAAACAATATAGAAATGCAGTTTCTGATACAAGCCATTCCATTGTGAATTTATATCAGCTGTGGTTATGTGATTTGCACATTCAAAAATTATTTTAATATAATGTACTTAACAATCTGTATTACTTTTAAAGCATAAGTATCTAACAGATATATCACAATAGTCTTTTTTAAAGTGCTGCATAATTATTTTTAAAGCCCAGTGCTTTTATATACTTCCTTGACATGTGAAGTTTACTATACACTTAACAAACAGATCTGGAATTATGATAAACTATTACTAATTGGGTGTTACAATTGTGATTCAAAAATAATGGCATATGCTTGCTTCATTACTGGTGCAAAATTACAAGCAGAGGTGCACCTAGACTAATCAGCTGACAACAATACTGTCAATGAAAACATAGGTATTGAAAAGTTGTGTATCATCTCTGTGATTCCAGAATATCACTATGTCTGACTAGCAAAATTTTGAGTAGAGGTTTATATAACCAAACCCACAACAATACAGTCAATGAAAATTTGGACATGGAAGGCCTCAATAAGGAGACCAAGTAGAAATGAAAATTATCATGCCATCTAGTGGCATAATACTGAAGTACAAACAAAATGATTTAACATTCCCAATATGCATCTTCACATTTAGCACCATCATTAATAATATTTCACTATTTACAAAAAATGTTGGAAAACCCCAACCTTAAAATTTCCTTTCAATTATTTTGTATACCCCAAAATTATTGTTTTTTTAGACTTTAGTTTGTCAAATGAAACAGTCACAATTTCCTGCTATAAACCATAAAACACTGTCAAAGATATGTCAGTGACCCAGAACCCTACCTTTAAAAATGACATCATCATTACCTTTGTCAGACAAGTTAGTGATTTTTTTTTGTCACGAATGGATATTCTTGATAAAGATCAAGTTATATCTGATAAATATATATTTTGTTTTTAACATAAAATAAGTTTTATTTGTGTGTATTGTTTGGATACGATACACTTGACAATATTCAATAAAAAAAGGATGAGTTTGCTCATACTATACTCACTAAAATTACCATAGCTAATCTAGTGTCTTATTATAGAATAAAATTCCTAAAGCTTTTAAACAAACATTATTTAAAGTAAGAATACTGTCTTGAAAAAGAACATCAAAAGAAACTAAAAAAACTTCCTAGATTTGTGGTTTATTCCTAATAGGAATGTTGCAATATATATCAGTATCAGTCAATACTGAGCCAATAACTCACCTTACCCTTACACCTGGTGGAGATTTAGAGTAAAAAATTCTTACTAAAAAAAATGTATTTTTTGTTAAAAGAAACACAAATTTTCTCACACACAACTGATTCTAGTGCAAAATCGAGAAAATTATCTTGAAAATATAAAGTGGAACGTTTTTCAAGATGTTTCACAGCTTCTTCTTTAGCATAGCAGGTTTCCACCCTGATTAAAACTATTTTTCTGGAAACGAAAATGGATATAATGTAGTTCATGCACAACAACCTTCCTTCCATTTCACTAGCCATGTAAAATTATGGTATAATTGCTACAGTGTTTTGCTGGGGCTCTATATCTTTATTAATTGAAACTTTAAATTGTTTGAACTGTAAGACCTAGTTTCTCATGCAAGGCAATTTCAATAAGATCCTGCAGTTATTCCAGTAAAATGAGTTGCTACCTTGTATTTGTTATTCAGAAGCTGCAAGAATTTTTACATTAATTATTCATCAGACCTACCCCCCCCCTCTCTTTATATCATACAGCTGAGTTATTGGTATCAATCATTCACACAAAAATATATATCAATATATTAATTTTTCTTAAACTTTGCATTAGGATCCTTTGTTCATCTCAAGGGGAGCTTCAGATTGCCAACACGTTAAACAAATCAAGAAATGACAAGTGTAATCTTTCTATTCTTTAACAGATAGATATAATCTCTTCTATCCAATTATTTTTAGCTGTTGGCTATAGCTATTTTCAAAACTGATCTCCATTGGTAATTTTTCAAACCACATGTCATGACATAAAAGGGTAACAACAAGGAGTTGGTGTAATAAAATCACTGATAGAAAAGTCACATGAAAATAAGACAAAATCATTATATTTTTGAGGGATGATAGTTTCTTAACAAATATAAACCTATACTCTGTGATATTTACAGATTAGACTTCCTAGAACTGTGCCCAAATGAAAGTTGGAAAATGTTTTCATTTTTCTTTGTAAATTAGCCTAAATGATATATAATTATAAAATATTAACCCTAAAATATTCTTCAGAAAAATATGTTGAAAAAAGTTCAAATTACATCTTTATACAAGTTTTGAAATTTGAGTTGCACTTAACAACTGGAAAGAGCACATTGGTCATGATTGGTTAAAAGTAAATTCTGTTTATGCCAAAATGACCATAAGCATAGTTTTAGTTTTCAACTCCTCAAATACTTCAGAGACCATTCACTGGAGCAAAAGTAAATTTCTGAAAATCAGTTACCTTATCCATAAAACAATGTTATTTTATTAAATTACAATAGTTCATTAAACACGTCCTCCATTATAAAAGTACATTCAAGTGCACATCTTTTTTATGTTAAGAAGTTATATTTTGTGACAAGACAAATTATCCTGATTAACTATCTCAACACAGGCTCAGTCAATTGTACTCGTTTAACGTCTTTATAGATTTAATACTTCTAACTTCCAATTTAGTGTGTATATCTTCACATAATTTGGCAGTCTTTCAGTTAATAATATACATGTCTTTCATATACAAAAAATCATATTTTTAGTGAAGTATTTTTAATAAAATAAAATAAAAATTTGTCCATGAATGTATTGAATATTTGTTTTGAATAGTCTGTATGCAAAGTAATTTTCATGTTAGAATTAAAAATAATTTTCCTCAATCTCAAATTTCCTTTGTGTAATCCCTAAAAC